CTCCGGGCCCCCCCTGCGCCACCATTGCCCGAGGCGAGTGTAAGACCGCCGACTATCAGGTTTTGAGTTTTTGACTCGCAAAGTGTGAGTACAGGTGTGTCTGTCTCATTTCGTGCAATGGGGTCTAGAAAAGTCTCAAATCATTTTCATTGCTCGAGATCGGAAAATCATCCTGATAATTTGGAAAAGGTACACCTGAAGGGTTGCACGACTTGAAGAATGTAATCAAGGGCACTGAATTGCACATGTAGAAATTGTTGAGATGGTGTATCTCTTGTGCGTCTTTTCGACAAAAGGAAAAATAAAAACACCAATGGGTATCTCTCTTAAGTTTATTTCCCATTATTTTTACCCCATGTAATGCATACATCCTAAAGCAAATAGTATTTATTACATTAACCAAAATGTAAGCTGCAGCCACAAATCTAGTGGCTACACCACACTTCCTACGAGACTACCATATTAAAATATCTTAAAATTAGCATTTCATTTTAATTAAAACACGTGAGAATAATTAGATTGAAATTGAAAGACAATGTAATTTGGAAATGCCTACTCTCTCACTAAATTCCATGCTCTAGTCTATGTGCCAGTTTTCAGCTAAAGTGCCTCTTGCGGTCTGATCAATTGAAATCAGTCCTTGCCAAGAGCTGGTGTCATCATCCCGATTTCAATGTTACTTCTATTAGAAAGTTGTTTGTGAGTGTATTTCTTTTTTGTGTGTGTGAATGTATTTCTAAACCTATTCAGTACCTGCACGTATTTATTGAATTGATGAATACTTGCATAATTGAATGTTTTTAATTATTGTGTTTAATTTACCTAATATTTTTATCTTTTCCTATGAAATTTTCTTGTTCAGCAACGCTCTAGTCTTGAAGTGTGCTTTGGTTTATACTACCTTTACTTGGCTTCTGTAGCTTAAAGTAATTTTGCCTTCATCAGGAATCTTAAAGATCCTTTAAAGCACTACTCTCAATCGCCTTCTCCTTCACAAGGTCAACTCTGATCTCCTAGATGGGCATGATCTTTCATTCTTCCAAATTCTAAAAAAACTCCCAATTCATAGTAATAGTGACTTTATAGGACAAGGTACAACCGCCCCTATGAGCTCCTGAGACTCCTTATGGGAATAGAGAGCACTGTGTTTCTCCCAGGAAACGGAAGGTGATTTCAAACTGCTGACCTTCCAGTCAGCAGCCCAACACCTAACCACTGTGCCCAGTTCCAAAGTCCAGTCGTACTTTATTCATACCCTCTTGTAGTATGTTTATTCTTTTCTATGACTTTGTTTTGTACAATTTGTATGCACACCCTGTGTCCTTTATGAGAAAAATCATAAACCCCTTAGTGGCCTAGACTGTATAATTCACCTTTGTATTCTGCACAGACCGATAAAATATCTTCTACACTGTACCACTGAGCAAATATTTGTTGAATTAATAACAATGTTAATTTAGAGGAAGCCAACGATTTTAATTTCCAGTCTTGCCTAACTCTCCACTAGACCATGTTGTTTTAAATTAAGTTCAGTGATGAATGAGAAGCAGTTTATTAAAATCATCTTAATTCTCATCTTTAGAAAATACTGCTATGAAATGTTTCCTAAAAAAAAAAAAAAGAAGAAGAAATGTTTCCTAATAATTTCCATGCATTTCTATTTTTACTTCTCAAATATTTTCGTTCCATGAACACCAACTAGTTAATGAATAGTAGAGGCATAAATTTCCGTTCCAGTGAAATATTCCCACAGGAAATGACTGATAGTAAAGCTGCCAATAACGGTGTCTATAAACATAATTTGATCTGTATCTCAGAAATTGTTTCCATTCCAACTGTTGGTTGCAGAATCTTTTTAGTCTTTGTAGTTAATATGGTTGTTGTTTAAACGTATATATAAACAAATACATATATATAAATTGTTCTCGCTGTGTGTGTGTGAAAAAATTATATAACTATAAAGGTCTAGGTTGAACTTTATCCTTAATTGAGCTTGCAGAGTTCAAGAATTATAAAGCACATTAGCCAATATAAATACTATGCATTATTCTAGATGCAGAACTATGTCTGATGCAACACAGCAACTGAACATACTGCTACTTTAAAGATTAGAACATTCATAATTTTAACAAAATTTGGGAGCATCACAGAAATGAATAAGGCAGCTATGACTAGATGGCACTACTTAATGACCTTAAGTATATTAATCTCATGTTTCTGCATGTGTCTTACACTTCTATAAACAATTTGTAAAGCTGATAATTCTAAGATCTTGCCCACAGAACTTCAATTATACATAATATCATTAAGAGAGTGACAAGATGTGAACCTGGCCTCATCGGTTTTTCTGTTTTCCTCTCTTTCTAACCGACAGATCCTCATCTACAGTAAGGGGTGGGGAGACATTTTCCAGTGTTTGCACTTGTTTCTCAGTGAGTTGGAAGTCCTTTTGATGCCCCATGAATTAACAGTTCTTAAAGTGTGCTGGCACGGTCACAAACGATGAACCAACTGAGAGATGACAGATGAGAGAGTAAGGCAGGGAGCCAAAGGAGGAATGCGGTAGTACTGACTGAATCCCGGAAAGGGGGACAAAGAACAGGCTGAGGCATGGGGTTAAGGTGAGCTGTAAGAGAAGAGAAATGTCTAGGTTATTGTCGTTATTTTCTAGTCAATTTACGGCGCATTTCTGTCTCACTGGTGCTCAGTCGTCCATTCCGCTCTTCATGGAGCCGAAGGTGAGTCTTACGCTGGCATTTGTCCAGCTCCCCTCCCTAACGCCTCTCGGGACCCTCCCGCGTAGGCCTGCCTGCTCTCCACGGCAGCTCTATCCATGTTGACGGAGAAGGACGGCAGCCTAGAGCTGACTGCACTACCACCGCCCTGGGAATCAACGATGCTTGTTCTCAATACAGCAACTTTAGCGTTTCAAATGAACAATATCTGGCAATTGGCAACATTGCTTACCTCATCCCTACCCCCACCAAAGTAATGAAAAGGAGGTTTTTGCTAAATACATGTGTATTTTCTTTTCTTTCTTTTGTGTTTTTCTAATTCCTTCCCCACTTTTCATTGTATTTTTAGTGAAAGTCTGCACAGTAGATTAGGTTCCTGGTTACAATTTCTACACATATTTATTGTTCAGTGACATGGGTTAAATTACAAACATGCACAGATGATATTTTATGAGCTAATCTGTTACGAGGCTGGCAGGTGACCTGTGGGAATAGGTTAACTTCCAAGTTCACAGGGTATGTCAGGCTGATAGCCTGGAGGGGTCTTCTAATCTCTGCCAGTCCTGTAAATCTGGCATTTTATTAGGAATCTCGGGTTTGCTCTGCCATTTTCTCTCATTTTCGTTGGGATCATCTCATATCCCTGGTCACAACCGTTGTTAGTGGGAGCCCAGCACCATCAAGTTCTGGCCGCAGGACAGCGAGGCTGTGCTCTGTTTGAGGTATTAATCCTGGAGACTAATTTCTTCTGTGAGTCTTTGGTTGCCTTCTTTCCCATTGGCTCCAGATGAGTGAAAACTAAAAGAGCAATAGTTGTATCTTAGGGGCCACTCACAAGCTTTCAAGACTCCAGATGTTACTACTAAGCCAGGATGTAGAACTCTTAGCTTTCTGAACTATGCTATGCCAATTAACTAAAGTGTCTCCTAAACCTTCAAATCCAGTAAACCAAGCCCTGTGCTTTGGGTTATATCTAGTTATATTGGGTGTTAATGTAATTCATGTCTAGGAAATATCCACAACTGTGCCTGCTTTATGCACACACACATATGTGACACATGCAAACTTGTATATACATAAAGCCTACAGATACATCCAGCATCATGTCAACATGTGGCTCTTCTCCATTCATATTTTGAAAATGAACCCAGAGTGACAGTTGTGGCAGTGGTGGGGGTGGGGGTCGGGGGTTAGGCTCTGACTCAGGGACCCTGTCTGAAACAGAATAAACACTGCAGTCCTGCACCACCCTGCTTGAGCCCAGTGTTACAGCCCCTGTGCCAATCCAAACAGATCACAAACTTGAAAACCCAATGGGATAATTCTAGTTTGTTTTGTATAGTCATTTTGAGATGGACTCACCAGTAACTGGTTTGCTTTTTTTAGGAGGTGTGTGTGTGTGTGTGTGTGTGTGTGTGTGTGTGTGTGTGTGTGTGTGTGTTAGAATGACCGTGTGTGCGTGTGTGTTATAATGACCATATATCACCACATACAAAGAGGAATTCAAACTCCACCTATCTAATTTCAAAGTCCTCACACCCTGTGACATTTCCTTGAATAGAAAAAAGAGAATAAGACACTCACTAGTATTTGCACTGATGCAATTTTGTTTTTTGTATTTTGTTTTAACGTCATTTTTTCTGAATATTTTACTCACTCTTGTGAAATGCAGCTGAGTAATGAAAGCTACTTGTTCAACTTTTGAATGCTTCTTAGTATATTCCTTTTCAAGAGTGTTTGCTCTAAATTCTCTGGTATATTCCCAATTAATTTGAAGTCCACCCATACTAAGCACAATGTGAAACTGCATCCTGTAAATAAAGTCTAATTTGAAAAGAAGGATAGATACAAAAAAACACGAAAGGCAAAATTTGTGCAACCTTTAAAACCACAGAAGGAGCTCTCAGACAAGCCCCTTCCACAAGTGAACAGATAGTAAGTAAAGGGAAAGCAGGGCCTGCCTTTCTGCTAACACTCGAAACCCAAGCTGTCAAATAGTTGATGACAGGAAGTTACTCTGCTTTAAAGCTTACGATCACAAAAATAAAGTATCGATAGAATATCACTATTTTGAACCCTAATGAAATAATGAGTCTAATAGCGAAGCTGGCCCAAAAAATCATCAGTAGCAACTAGCATCAAAGAGAGAGAGAGAACCCAACCTTCGGTGACCTCTGATCAATACACACTATGAGATATTCTTGCCAAAACCAAGCCTGAGTCTGGTGAATTTGCAGAAATTAAAGAGAGCGGAGGAACATGTTAAGTATCACAACAGGGATGCAATCAGCCAAGTCTAAATCCAATCTCTTCAACATAGTAGCCAATTGCAATTTACACATTTTATTTGAATCCTGATTTGAATTAAGTATCGAGTAAAAAATAAATGAACTTGAGAAAAGATAATAATTTATAAATTATCAAGGGTTCATGAGGGAGGGAGGGAAAAAAAATGAGCTGATACCAAGGGCTCAAGCAGAAAGTAAATGTTTTGGAAATGATGATGGCAACAAATGTACAAATGTGCTTGACACATTGGATGTATGTATGGATTGTGATAAGAGTTGTACAAACCCCCAATAAAATTATTTTTTTAAATAAAATAAGATAAATGAATTATGAGCCAATTCAATAATGATTTTTTTTACATAAATGAGTTATGAGCTAATGGATGATTAGGTTTTTTATGATAATAAAGAAATATTGTTATTTTAACGGCAATTTATTTAAAATCTAAAACCAAGTTCACTGCCATTGAGTGAATTCCAACTCATAGCAACCCTCTAAGACAGAGGAGAACTTGTTTGGGTTACAGTGATTTTAAATCTTTAAGTAGTTCTTTATATTTTAGAGTTAATACTGAAATATTTACTGAAAGAATGATATGCAATCAGGGATTTCTTTCAAAATAATTGAGGAGGAGGGAGAAAGGAGTAAGAAGGACAAAAGATCAGCTATAAATTGGTAATTATTGGAGGGGGTGATGGGCACATGGGTGGTTGGGGGGCTGTTATAAAAGCCTATCTACTTTCGGGCATGTTTGAAATGTCCATACATTTTTTTTTTTAATAGATGAATCACATTTTAGAAAATAGATCCTTGCAACTGGTTGGAACAACACAACCTGAGAGTAACAGAATGGTTCACACTGGAAGGAGAGTGAGAAAAATGTTAAAATCTAGGTCTAGGAATTATAATTACAATCCAGACTCAAAGTAGTCTAATGACAAGGATTTGAAATCAGAACTAGTTCAAATTGACTTCTTCAGTCATATACCAACTAGTTACTGATCTTGCACGTGTGCTCTTTCTTATTTTGGTTAATTCCGGACCCTTATTCCTCCCTCCTAGAAACACACAGCGATGAGCCAGATCCCTCCTGCCTGTCATCTAACAACTTCCTCGTCATTCATGCTAGCGCCTTCCTTACCCTCTCTACCTCTCCACCATTTTCCTTCTTGTCACCCTTCCTGGTGATTTCATTATTCACAGAAGGGCCCATTCACCCATACCTCTTCCTTTATTCAGCTTCTCTTCACTAATGCACTGTCCCCACCTACACCACCCAAACCCAGAGTCATACTTTAGACTTTGCCATAACCAAATACCACTTCCTGTTTTCAAGCTAACTACCTCTGGCACAAACTCCCACAATGCTTTCATCTCACTCTCCCTCCAGTCTTATCGCCCATCATGAATCCTTCCTAGGCAGATTTCCCAGTTCAAATGCCATGATCTTCATTATAATCATTGCCTTGCTTGTATACACCCTCAACTCTCATGTCCCCCTCTCCCTACGCTCTTGGCAAAACCCTGCCGTGGTTAAAAGAAATATTCCCTTATACAGTATTTTGCATTGGCACTTTGACAGCTGGAGAAAACACATTCCAAATTTCAAGTAGTCCCTCCTTGCTACAAAGCAACTCCACTAAATATCCCCAGTCCATTCACTGTCCCCTGGCTGATTTTTGACCACTGCCCATTGATCACTTTCTTTTTTTCTTTTTAGTTTTTTTGTTGTTGTTCTTTTTTTGTTCACGTTCTGCGATCATTTTTCTCAGCATTACAGCACTGAGATTATCGAAACATCTCTTAACCTTCAAATCTACCGACCAGCATTCTCTTTATTTTATTTTTATTTTTTTCAGAGAACTAAGCCTTTTTATTTCCTTGTTTCACAAATATAAAGCTGGCTGCTTTGGTTGCATTTTGCTGACTAGTCAGAGAGACCAAATCCCGTGTCCTCGTCCGACTCTTCCGATTCCTCCTTTGCTTCTTGTTTGGCC